CGGAACACAGCCGGGTGCTTCCCTGCTGCGGCCCGGCGCAAGACAAACACACCAGGGATTTCCTGCCATGTCCGGAAGGCCTAACTCCCTATCTTATTGCATTATGTACCTTACCATTTCAACCATTTTGTTTTACACACTGCAGCTTTCTCAATGTAGTAGTTATAATTACTCAGTATCTAACATTTTCCCCAAAGGCTAATTAGCAGCACTCAGGCATCTTCTGTCGCCCTTTTTGGCTTCAGACTCCTTTCTTTACACAGAAGGAATTCCCATGGAGCTTCCCACTTTGGAAGGACACTGGCATCCCACCCGGCTCCAGTAAGTTCCTAGAGGAAGGTCCACCTGTAATTCTCTGCCCAAACTCATGGGGCTGAGTCTGAGTCTTTTTTTCCTGGAGGGGTAGGTAATTAGGTTTACTTATTTATTTACTTTTGGAGGAGGTACTGGGGATTGAACCCAGGACCTCGTGCATGCTAAGCATGTGCTTTACCACTTGAGCTATACCTTCCCCATCTGACTGTTTTAATTTGTGAAATGAATGGTGCAGGGCTGGAATTCCTAGATACCCGTTCATGTTTTCCGGTCTTGGGTGGGTTGCAGCCGTGGTGGCACATGTGTGGTCCCCGCTGGGAAGGACAGGAGAGCGAAGACGGAGCTCTGGGTCCCCGCCCAGATGAAGGCAGCTCCCCTGGAGATGAGAGGCGGTGCCATCGCAGCCTTCACATTGGCACATGCCCCGTCCCCCAGCTCCCAGCCAGGATCCTGCTGGCTGCCGGCCTAGATTCGGGGCTGTCACAGCCTTGGGGCTTTTCACCCTGAAATGTGAGCTGGTGAGGAGTCCGAGTCCAGAGAAGCTGAAGATGTACTCCCTGGGGGAATGAACCTCTGATGGATTCCGCTTACGGGGACCCAGGAAGGACAGCCGCTCCCAAGTCACACCTGGGCAAGGCCTGCAGCTGCCTGGGCCCCTCCTGTTTCACACCTGGATGAGGGTTTACTCCAGACTCAAGGCAAAGGAGGCTCTCAGACAGCGTGACGTCACCCTGGCATGTTTTACCCCATCTGGTGGCCTGAAATTCCTGGAACAATTAGCCAGGAGCACTTCACTTTATAACCACAGGAAGGAAGGTCCTGGACGTTCTTCAGTCTGTTTCCACCAGCCTTAAAACCTACTACTCAACCCGCTGGGCAGTTCAGTCCGCCTTAGAGCCGGTGGGCCGGCCCCCGCCCCTCCACTGCCACCACGAACGCAGCTGCTGGCTCCAGCCTTTCCGGGCCCAGGTCCTCCTGCATGGCGCACGGCGGGAGGCAAGGAGAAGCACAGAGACGCGTTGCAGGACAGGGTCTCAGAGCAACGCCTCAGCTCCGCAGCTCCGAACTCCCTGGGGGCACAACCACCTCCCCGCCTGCCAGGGGAAAGTGTCTCAGGGGCTCGTGTTTTCCACCAGATTCCCACTTAATCCTGGGCGGCCTGGTATTCTTTCCTTTTTCTTTTTCTTTTTCTTTTTCAGGGAGAGAGTGAAAACCAGTGGCAGACGTGCGGGGTCTGTGGTGGAAGGCGGGGTGCCCAAACCCCCGTTCACTCTTCTGATTAGCAGCCGTTAGTGGGGCACCAATGGCAAGGGAGTCATTCGTATCTGATTCTTTCTGTCAAAGGTGAATGGCAGCTGCGAAACTCCCATCAGCGCTGTGAAGGTCACGTGTAAACTAACCTTCACTCAGGTCTGCAACCCCAGCAGTGAGCGTCGCCGGAAAGGCCTGGGGCAGCTTCGCTCTTCTGGTCACGAGGACTTAACGGGCAACCTCAGTCCCGAGTGCAGCTGCCGTCAAACACCGCATGTGTGTGCTATGCGTGCTTCTGAGGGCTGAATTCTCTCCCGTAAACCGTGTGCAAGGCCCTGCCCCCGACACCCCGACACCTGAGATGTGGCCTTGTTTGCCAACAGGGTCTTTGCAGATGTGATCAAAATGAGGTCGTCCTCGAGTAGGGTGGTCCTCAACCCAGAGACCTGTGTCTTCATGAGATGAAGGAAATGTGGACACAGACAGACACAGGGAGGAGAGGCAGAGACCGGAGCAACGCGTCTGCAGCCCAGGAAGGCCAAGGGCCGTCGGTGTCAGCAGCTCGGATGCTCCCTCAGCTCCTCAGGGGGAGCCAGCCTGTCCACACCTTGATCTCGGACTTCCAGCCTCCAGGGCTGTGAGAACACATTCCTGTTGTTTTAAGCCACCCAGTTGCTGGTAATTTGTCATGGTGGTCCTAGAACTCAAGCACATGGACATCTCTCTCTCTTACACACACACACGATTAAAAGGGTATTTGCCTGCACAAAACTTTTACTTTGGATTACTTTCATGGACTTACAGGCTCCCCACTGGTTACCCACTTTTGCCTTGTGAATCCACTAATGAAAAACACGGAGTATTTAAATCCTTCCTTCATTTAAATTGTATCTTTCCCATGATCTAAATTGTGGGAGTCCACTCTCTTTGCTACAAGAATTAAAACATCAACCAAAATGTACCACACAATTAAAGCACACCAGATGTCATCCTCTGAGACCCGATGACAAAGTGCCCGCTGGGGGAGGCTGGGGACCACCCCATCCCAGCGGCGGGTTTTCTATGGAGAAAGAACCCTCTTCAGAAAGCAGAAGGCCCTTTACCCTCCCGGCCATCTAAAGACACCTGCCACAGGTCAAAGTAAAGCTACAGGCTGTTTCCCCGTTAATAAAATCAAAAGAAGAGCCACATGCAGACAGGAGAGGAGCAGGGCGACCCCAGGCAGCCGGTGCACAGGCGGGGCCCAACCACGCCAGCAGCACACGCCTCCCGTCGGAGCTGCTGCCCAGGGTGGGAAAGGCAACCGATCACTCCAGTGGTGGGAAGAGGGAAGGAGGAAAAATCAGAAAGTAATAGTAATAGCAAGAAAACAGAAAGGTCTCACAGCTCACCCAGAGTCCAGGCCCCTCCGCCCAGTGCCCACAATGTCCACCATCAGCTGTGCCCTGACCCGACCCTTGGCTGCAGAAGTCGCTGCCTGGCAGCTGTACTTGGCCTTCGCTGCCTCCGGCACCGCCCGGAGAGGACTCCCTTTGCTCTCATGTTCTCCATAAACCTGGGTGATGTCACGGCACATTGCAACTCCAAACATTCTCTGTGCAGACTTCTCAGTGAAGCAAGCCTGGGTAACTGAGGGAGTCACCACGCCCGACAAGAGCTGAAATCCCTCTGCAGCTGCGGCGCCCCGACCACGAGAAAGAACTTCAGCGTGTCAAGACGTCGGGAGGCATGGCTTTTCCCGTTCCGTTTCTTTCCTTTCAGAAGCAACCAACTGGGTTCCCTCCTGCTGCCACGTGGATGGAACATGGGAGCCAGTTCCCTGGTCTCACAAAGAGAGGCAAAGACATAGCCACCAGCCAGGTTCCAGGGTGGCAGGTCCCTTGGAAAATGGACTCACGGAGGTGAAGGGCTTCCAGGCACCAGGCGGCACCTGTTCACAATCTTCCAGGACCCGGAGGCCCTGATGCATGTGCAAAGGGGCGTATCTCTCTAAGCTCCCAGCGATGCCAAGGGCAATCCCTTGACCTGGAATCAAATGGTGAGCGGACAGGTGGCCAGGTGGCAGGACGAGAGGAAAGATCAATTCTGGACAATCTTCCCTCTGAGCCAGGAGGCCCTGGGCACCGGCTCCTCTGAGGGATGAGGTTTTCCCACTTTGCAGAGGAAGAAAGAGATGGGAGCGTACTCAAGAATGCATATACTCTTTCAGATAATGTCTTAACATCATATGATACCGTGAAATTCCAGTAGTAAAATGTGTCACTTGAAAAGTCAAAGAAGCAGGGCTATAAGAGACCACATTCAGGTCCCCCCACTGGGAACAATTTTTACTTCTGATGTGCAAACGTTCAAGTGAAAGGCCTCCATGTTCATCAGAATGTAAGGGCCCGCTGCAGACTCACAGTCAGGCTCGAATGCGGTGGCACAAACTGGACCCCCAAAGGGAAAACAGCAGAAGCCACAATAAGGACAAAACGCACCACAGGGGAGGGGGCGGCGGCCAGGAGCCAGGGGGCTGGGGACTCGCACTGGCCACCCCAAACGCTGAACCAAGCCCGGAGAGGCCAGCACGTCACCAAACCAGGGCCCAGACAACGTAACCTCCAGGGGCCCCCAACTGAAATCCGGAGTGTTCCAAGGGCAACACAGGCAGGTTTACTGGGAGAGGTGATCACGTCACCTGCAGTCACGTTCATCCGTCCACAAGCGGCTGCCGTCACTAACACAAAAGCCACTAACCCCGAGGAGTAAGCAGAAACCCCAAGAAAAAGGCTCTAAGACAACCAGGTATAATCCAAGGGATGATGGCTAAAATCCACACTCGGACACAAACGAATAAACACACCAGCGCGACCAAGCAGAGACCCCAGGAAAGAAGTCGGAAAGACGCGTAAATTCCTCGCCTGCCTCACCTAAGGGACGCAGTTTTTTGGCATCTGTGTATATTTTGCATTGTCCAGCTACGTTTTTTTCCCCATTGATTCCCACAATTTGAACCTTCAGTTTAACTTCTCGTCTTCCAAGAGCATCATTTCAATGTGGGTAAGGGAAAAGGAAGCCGTTCCCTCATGTGACCACCACGAGACCTTGATGACATGATTGCAAAGTTCTGCAAAGTCACGCCAGAGCCCCAAGCAAAGATGGCCCGGGGTTCCATCTTCCACACTCCCCTGAACGGTCAACAGTGTCCAGGACAAGAGGTAAGTACCAGAACAGGTGTTACAGGAGACACGGGAGCTACTCAGGACTACTGCTAACGACATCTAAGGGACAAAACAAGGTGAAATGTTTAACTTAAAAAGAAAAGGAGAAAGCGGAACAAAATAGGATGGTACACAGAACAAAGAGGGCAGGGGACACTACGGTACAGAGCTGGGCCTCTCCTCTCTCTCCAAACAAGACAAGCAGCTGCCAAGAAGAAAAGGTATAGTTACCTGCATCCATGTCTGCAAAGAATGGAACAGCCAGTAAGAAAAAGAAGGAACCAGAAATTCAGTGTCTCACAGTTGGATTTTCAAAGGTTACACGGAGAGAAAATAAAATTTAGAAAACTGCGTGTGCGAGATACCTTGACTAGGGAACAAGGGGGCTAAAGGGTCTCCTAGCGTTACTACTGAAATTTCATTTACAGCAAAACATAAAACATGGATATGTTCACAGAAGAAGTAAAGGCCTGGTGGCAAAAGAAATATCTCATTCACGTGCAAAATGATTATCAAATGTTTGTAATACGATCATAAGGGGGGAACGTTCTCAAACATACGGTGGTGGTGATCACCTGAAGGGCCTTGTATCTCTAAGTAACATACAAATTATACATCAGCTCAACATCCAGATCAGAGAAACTTCCAAGCAATACAGGAGCGACACTGGATTAACGTTTGAAAGGACAGAATTACTAGGTAAGAAATACGTTCCACAGCATTTGTGGCTTTACTTTATTGCTGCAAATGCCGAGGTGAAGATAACATAGCTGGTCAGCTAACAATACTGCAGAGGAAACAACGGGCCTACAGATTTTTGAGGCTTGGTATTTTATTACTTGCTTGATATGTGATACATCAAAGTAATGACTTAGAATATGCTAGCGAAAAATTTAGAGAAACTAAACTCTCTGAAGCTTGAGGCTGTCTGCCAAACAGCATACCTTCGGGAGACTCCTCCTGGACGTACGTGCCGGTCAGATACCGGTGCACCAGGGCCGACTTGCCGCTGGCCAAGTTACCCACAATTCCCTGGAACAAAGACAGGGACAGTCATTAAGCATCAGTGTAGCGCGCTATGCGGCAAGCTGCAAACAGACAGGTTCAAATGTGGTGTAATCCTAAACCTGATCTCAACCCAGCACTGCTGGGTGGCCAGAAATTGGCTCATTAAATCCTCCTGCTGGGAAGAAAGGGGTTCCAACACCCTCGGTGAACATCTCACGTTCTCACCGGCCCCTACAGCCCAGAGAATCAACACAGTTCGAACACACACTGGTGGTGGCCTTTTTCCAGATGCCAGGAGTGCTGGTTCCATCGGGAAGGTGTGCAGTGAGCCAGCCCATCCACATTTTCAGGTACCCTCAGAACACTCCACCAGGCGCCAGGTGAAGCAGCACACAGTGGCAGGATGGAGGAACTCAGGGTAAGGAGGACATTCTGGTGCCTTCCATCACAACTCTGGAGTAGGATTTTGGAGCCGGGTGAGACTAGCAGACAAAGAGCCACGCAGGGAAAAGACTGTCCAGGAAGGACACAAGGGGCAAAAACTGGACCAAGGCGGAGGGAGGGGAGAGCAAGCCTCTATCTCTGGACATGGGGTCTACACCACAGGACCAACACAAGGACAGAGTGGGGGCCACGGCAGGGGCGGCAGAGGGGTTCATACTGGGTTAAAAAGGAGTCAGAGTGACGTGAGGGCCACTGTCCTAGCATGTAGGAAGGCCCGGTCACCACGGGGCAAGGTTGGCACTACCCTGGCTTTTTTCAAAAAATCCCCTATAACACAGCCAAGATATCTGGCCTGGAGGCAGCCAGCCCCGCCGGAAGCCTTCCCTCCACTGGAGGTCTCACCCCACCACCTCGACCTCCCAGGCAATGCTGGTCACCAGGACTGTCCCGCATCTGAGTCTTACCCTCCCCCACCAGGACTTTCCTATCTACACGGGGGCATGATCAAATCAATCCTCTCTTTAAGGAAAGCAAGACGGGAGACCTGCCCTGGAGATGGGTCCCCTCCTAATGGAGAGGCTGCCATCCCTTTCAGGGCCAGGCCTCAGGCTCTGCCCACCCCCAGGCTCCACCCACCCCTGCCCCCGCCCTGAAGGTCTGACCCCATTCTCCAGGACACTGCCCGAGGTCACCAAGGACTTCAATTTCTAAAACCATGAGCCTTTCTCCAACTCCTGACCCAGGCCCATCACCAGAAGCTGTAGAACTGAGATTCTCTTTCTTCAAACTCCCACCCTGGGCTTCCTCTTAGAATTCCCTCTCTGACCACACGGGCTCCTTCCCGAGCTCTCCCAAGGTCCTGGATTCTAGGTCCCCCAAGTGCGCCTGGACACACTGGACTCCACAAATAGGCTTCAAGTTCCCACCCTCGTTCTCCAGCCCCCACCCCGCAAGCTCCAGGGAAACCCACACCGTCCATGCCAGTACTCAAAACCTCGGCAAGTCCGCGTCCTGCCCAGTCTGCTCATCTTCCTCTGGGACCACATGCCCTCCAGCCTCTCACACCAGACACCGGGAAGCCGTCCCGCCTCCCATCCCGCCCAGACGTCCCAGGACCCCCGCACCTGGGAGCGTCTTCAGGGTCCCGTGGGCCCGGCTGGGCTGCCCATCACCTGGATCTCGGGAAAGCCTGCCTGGGAGGCCCCCCCTCACCCCCAGGATACCAGAGATTCTTTAACATGGGCACTGCCAAAGTGTTACTCCCTCATTTCACAATTCTTGGGAAGACTCCCACAGCCGGCAAGTCCAAATATTTCACAACAAAGGGTCTCCATCCAAACCCTCGTACACAGTCTGCCGTGGGCACCCAGACACGGCAGGAACCACACTGACACTTCTTTCTTCCTGCCACCTGGGCACAACTCCCTCCTTCCCCTGAAGGGAGTGCTGGATGCTTTTCCTGCCTCTCCGCACGCTCAAGACACCTGACACTGTGACCCGCTACACGCAGGTCCCTGGATACCAGCAAGGCCACCGCTCTGAATCCTGACCCTCAGCCCAGGTTCCAGCCCCAACAAAGTGCCAGTAGGTACGGGATGGATGATGGATGGATGGCCGGCCGGACGAACAGATGGATGGATGGGTGGGAGGCAGGGCTGGAGGGAGGGTTTGCTGGCTGGTTGGATAAATGGATGGTGATGCCAATAACTTACAAGAACAAACACAAGGGAGAACAGATTTGGCATGAGATTGTAGAAAATAAGTTAAAACCTGACCTAAAACCCCAAGCCCATCCTGTCCCCCTCACCACGCAGGGCACTTTGTCCTCTGTATTCAGGGACCAAACCCATCCCACAGGCCTTGCTGTCTCCAGACACCCAGACCTTCCCACGTCAATCGCTGCCTGAAATACGACTCTTAACTCACTGCTCAGCAATCAGTTTGGATGTCACCTCCTCTGAGAAGCCCTCCTAACGCCACAGCCTCCAGCAGTGCCTCTCCCCAGAGCCCCCTCAGCGCCCTCCTCACTGCCCTGTCGTGACACTCACCTCTGCGTTTCCCCAGCATCGGTCTGTGGGGCTGACGCCCTCCAGTGCTGACAAGGCACTGGGTCTCACCTCTCCCTGGCCCTCCACACCCCGGGCTGCCCCCACCCCAAGGCAGACTCTCGGCAGCACTGACTGAATGAACGAAGGAGTGACTGTAAGGCCAGTGGGTAGAAATGAGATGCTTTCTCACTCGGCTCAAAGCCACAGACAATGTGGACAGACCCTCAATAAAGCTGTTTGTCTTCCTGATTTGACTTCTGTCTTCCTTTTGCCTTGGGCCTCTATAATCGGAGAGTTTCTACCTATTAATTATTCTCTTGCTCAAGGGCACCTGCTGTTTGTCAGCTTCATGCTGAGAAAATCCAAAACAGTGTGCCACAGAATTAAATTTTTAATTAAGGTTGGGGTTTTGTCTTTCCCGAGGAGGAGACGCTCAGAATCCAGTTCTTCCCGTGCGGGGCCGGCGTTCCTCCTGCCTCACGCGCCAGCGGTCCGCACAGGAGGGGCTTTCCCCTCACAGGGATCAGCTCACCCGACCCAGGGCGGGGGGTTATTTGGAGTGAATGGCTGGCTCACAGACCTCCTTACGTTTGCACACCACGGGCATTAGTTTAATTTGAAACACTGGCAGAAACTAACAGCCGGCTGTGAGGAGGAAATAAAACAAGGGGTGAAAACGCCCTTGACGCTGTAAAGCTCCACCAGGATCCAAGAACCGCGGCTGCGTGGAGACCAGAGAGCGGAACCACCCCAGGCTGGGTCTCCGGGCTTGAGGAGACACGAGGTAACACGGGTGGCGTCCTGAAAACCGCAGGAGCAGCCGTGCATGCTGGGGCAACACGTCGCCACCGCTGGCCTGGCGTCCTCTGGGCAGGCCTAGGAGCCGCCACGCCACAAGAGGGGAAGGAGCTGGGGGGGGCCTTTTTAAGCTGATTTCTCGACTGTCCCACACCTTCCCACTTATCTTGCTCAGCTTGCTGAAAACGGCATCGAGGCCTTCAGTACAAACCCCAGCCAGGAATTCAGTGAAAACACACAGACAGGATGTGACAAGGGGCTGATGGACGCCACCTCCACAGGCACGAGGGGAAGGGGCGCGGCGTGCGCCGCCGG